AGCATTCCTTCAAAAAAAAAAGTCGGCATGTATGAAGTCCTTGAGAAACGTTGGTCTTCCTCAGAGATGGGACAATGCCACCTCATAGACACGTGCACAGGTGGGGGCTGGGCTGCAGGAGGCCATGGCCATGGCCCATGGGACATAGGAGCGGGAGAAGGCCTGAGGGCTGCAGCAAAGAAGAGCTGGGGTACCATCCCGGCCTCCCAGGTTTCTGCTAGATGCAATTTCTGTAGCCTTCTAGAATAGCACCTTTCTTACTTGGTTGACTTAACAGGTTTCCCCTGATCACATAGTCAAAACAGCAGGTTCCTGCACCAGAGCAGAGATAGGAGGGAGAAGTGCCTGTGGGTTCTACAAGCTGTCAGGGTGGGGTTCCTGGTTTAAAGCAATGCCAAGAAACATTGAATAGGCAACACTTTCTTGGGCTAGAGACCCCAAGCCATCTGGCCAGACAGCTTTCACATTTCTGCTCTGGCCCGGTGCTAGCCCTTTAGTGTGGTCCCAGTCTTGGCTCTTTGTCTGGCAGGACCTCAACTTCAAGTCACTTTGTCTGATATTTTGTGCCTACCCTGCCCCGGTGTTGTGTCAACTCCTGGGCACTCAGGGGTGAAGAATGCCTCTTGGGCCCTTCTCTCGTGGGCTGAAAATCTAGACACTAAACAGTTATCATATTTCATCACATCTAAGCCAGTGTTGTTTCAGGCACCCCTACGAGAGAAAGGGAAACAAATTATGATGTGATGATACAAATCTTTCTTTTCATTTAGAATTTTTTGTTTTATGCTTATTGAAAGACATTTTTAGACTTCATTAAATATGGATTGTATATTTCTTGTGAATATGTAAGAAGGGAAATTGGTGAAGAAAAAGAAATTGATATCCCTAAAATGTTTTTACTGTGGGTGACCTCTTCCTCCAAATCCCTCTTTTAAAGTATTTGTATGCACACTTTCGTCCTCTGTGTCATCAAGAGTGTGAGCTATGCAGCATTTTTTAGAAGAATCCATGAGAGAACTAAAAGCCATTGGTCCTGGGCTTGGAAGCCACCTTTGGCTCCCATTTTGGGAATGGTGCCAAACACACCTGATTCACTGTAGCCACAACCCATGGATTCCCAGGGCTTCAGAGAGCTCCACTTGTGTCCCAGGCTTCCTTCCATGCGCTGGCACCTATTCTGAGTTTTAATGCTGGCATATTTGACATTGGCACATACGCAGTTATCATTGTACCACACTATCTGTCCAGTAGCACCTGTAAGATAAACCCTTGACTTAAGGGAAATAGAAATGTGAAAGCCAGCATCTGTGAATCAGTGAAGCATGGCTAGTGTGAGGGTCTGAGCACCAGGAAAGGAGAAGTGGAGGACGCTGTGAGCTCAGATAACAGGATCCCCCCTGCCCTCCCCCCAGTTTGTGGTCAGACCTTCCTAGGGAAAGATACTCCAGGCTGAGACCCAGTTCCTGGAAAGGGAAAAGGGAGGTGGAAAAGATGAGATGAGTAGTGCAGAGTAGGGAACAGCCTGTGTGAATGCCCAGAGTTGAGAGAGAAGGTGTGGGTTTGAATTCTTTTTGGGGTTTGCAAAGTAGCCCTTTTTTTAGTGATGACGTAGGAAAGATCTGTTAGCTATGAAGATACGTCAGGAGTGGTTCTGCTGGACTTTGCCAAGTTCTCAGCTGGCTTTTTCCCTTGATGCTGGGGAATGAAATGGAACCTAAGTCTGCACACATTTTAGGGAAGTGCTCTACCACTGACTCCCCTAGCCCTTCTTTACCATGTTAATTTTAGTTCTTCATCACTCTCAGCTTCTGTCTCAGAAACTGCGGACGTTAGTGAGACCGTGAGCATTTAAGTTACCCATTTCATCTGGATCTTCCATTGAAGGCAATTATAGGTGTAGCATTATTATTTTGGTGATTTTATGTTATTACACAAAGTGATTCAATCAACATTAATAATTACTACAGTTATTAAACAAGATTTACCTATAAGCCCACAGTCCCCCAGGTTCTACAACTGTTATACTGTATTTTGGGGATCAGCTGCACCCTCTGTCCCTCCTGCCTGGCTCACTCTCCTACTTTTTGGAAGTTTACCCCTCATTAAACTTTCCACATGTAAATCTGAGTCAATTTCCAGGGAAATCCCTGATCCTCCCACTCAAGTGACCAAGCTAACCCTTCTTCATTCAATTTTCATCCTTAACTTTCCTTTGACTTTGAAAGTTTGCAGTTTCTTTCTTGCCCTTCATAATGATATTTCAGCACTGCACTCACAGCTCCTCTTTGGTACAAGCCTCTGCTTTTCCCCTCATATTTGACATTTCTTATTAAACTTCTTTTTATTGCCTCATTATTTTAGGAAGAGGTGAAGTACAAATTACTAAGATAATAAATATTCAAATTGTACAGACCATCTGCCCTGGAACAGATGTCCACTTTAAGTGAGTATCTACCTGCATTTCTTGGGGTCCAGGGAGAGGCGGAAGACAGAAAGGCCAGACCCTGGGAAATGGTGACTTCTGCTGAAATTTTATTTGCACCTATAAATCCTGATGAAATTTTAATCACATGCAAAAAGAGGCTCCTTCCCGAAAATTCAGCTAAGGCTGCAGAGATGATAACCCAAGAATGTTATGATATGCAGCCTGCAGATTGCTGACCACAAGGAAATGCTTCATGAACCCAGTCAGGGTTTTATTCTGCATTTAGCTATCATGTGTGGAGTGTGTTGTACAAGCCAGATGTTGTGCCTTGAACTTGCCAATATACTCGCTGAAGGGTGAGGATGGCCAGTATAGACTTTCACCACCACACGGATCTCCCTTGTGTCTCAAGCAAACTGGCAGAGACTGGAGACCATGAGCACCTTTGCGACACCCATCTGTCCTCATCTTCCACTGATGCCCTGCCTTTTCAGTGGCCCCTTCTCTGATACCTTCTTGCCACTTTTCATCTGCTTATCAAGAGAGAGAAACTGAGGCAGTCTAATTTCTGGACTCCCACTGCCTGCGTGAGCGTACCTCTGTTTCCCTATCTTTGAAACGAGGGTGAAAATACTGCCAACTCCCTGGGGCTATTGTCCACCTCTTCTATGCAGCATTTAAGCTGCGTAAACACTGGTTATTATTCTGTTAGCTCCTCTCAGTATTCTACTGAGGTCTTTCTTCTCCTCCCCAGAAGTCTTGCTGTTCCTTATTCAAAATATTTCCTATAAGGCCTGGATTCCCTTTGCATGTCCCCATCTTACTGCACGAATCTACACTGGACCTTTTGATAGAAATGTTAGATTGGCGTAGGTCTGTGCCTAAATGAGGAGAGAGCCCACCTGGTCTTCATTCAAGACTATTTCAGAAGTTTTATTTTTCATTTAACTGTCACATGTAGAGCATGTAATATGTGCAAGGCTTGTGTTTTTGATGAAGAAAGAGCATTGGGTTGATGTTGGCTCTGCTACCTACCAGATGGATAACTGGCTAAAGCATGTCCTAGCTCTTAGTCTTGGTTTCCTCTCCTGTAAAGTAAGGGTAAACCTTTTGAGCTCACTCTCTCTCTCCCCCTCCCTCCCTCTCCTATGTATGAGGTAAGAATATGGGCAATTTCGAAAAAGTCTGGGTACCGGATTAGATGAGCAGTGAGTGTTGGCGCCCATGGTGTTGCTGTGTCAGGGCATTGCGGAAGGGTTTTTCTGTTGGTATCAAGAAGTGCCAGGGCAGAGAAAGTTTTGGAAAAACCTATGGAAATGTTTTTACTAAGTTTAATAAGGGCTGAAGCCTGTATTTTTTATCTCATCTTCCCAGCCTGACTCTTACCCTGTGACAGTACTATTGGGATGTCTCTCTCCAAATGTCTTTTAAAACAAAAATTTTTAATGCCAACTTTATTGAGATATAATTCATATACCATATAATTCATTTGATGTGTCCAATTAAATGCTTTTTAGTACATTTGCAGAGTATGTAGTACCATCACTACAATCAATTTCAGAAAAATTACAAGTTTTTGTGGGGTTTGACAAATGCATAGTCATATAACCATCTCCACAGTATAGTACAGGTCAGCCCCATCACCCCCGACTTCCTTGTGCTGCCCCTTTACAGCCAGTCCTACAACTACCTTGTAACCACTGGCAACCACTGATCTGTACCCCGCCCACCTCCAGTTTTGCTCTTCAGAATGTCACATAACTGGAAACATATCATATGCAGCCTTGAAACTGGCTTTTTTCAAGTAGCAAAATAAATACCTGATAGTGTTTAGTTGGGTCATATGTTAAGTATTTGTTCAAATTTAAGAGACTGCAAAAAGAAACATTTTATGGTGATAGTACCATTTTGCATTCCCACTGCAGGGTGTGAGAGTTCTAGTTTCCTACACTCACCAGTCATTGGTGTTATCAGTGTTTTGTTTTGTTTTATTTTTGTTTAACTTTAGTCATTCAAATTAGTGGTATCATATTGTGGTTTTAATTTACATTTCCCTAGTGACTAACATTGAGCACCTTTTTATGTGTTTATTTGCCAGCCATATATCCTCTTTGATGAAGTATCTATTCACATTTTTCACCCATTTTGAAAAGATAAGCTGTGTGACTATGCCTGCCTCGCAAGTGCAAGGTCCTGAGTTCGATCCCCAGTACCAAAAAAAAACAAAAAAACAACTGACTTTGTTGAATTTTGGGCCCAGGATTTAGCTCAGTGGTTCTGCCACCTGCTTCGCAAGCGTAAGGTCCTGTGTTTGATCCCTGGTACCAAAAAAAAAAAAAGAGATAAGCTGTGTGAGTTTTTTGTTCATAGATTTTGAGTATCCTTTATATGTTCTGGATAAAGGTCTTTTCTCAGAAATGTGATTTGCAAAAATTTTTCAATGCTCTGTGGCTTTTTCTTTCTCTTAATCTCTATTGCAGGCCAAAAGTTGTTAATTTTGATGAAGTCTAATTTTATCAGTTTTTTCCTTAGTGGATCATGTTTTTGCTGTCTCATCTAAAAATTCTTTGCCTAGCACTTCTGTGACTTCTACTGGCTGTGGACTGCATGAGAAGGATGCTGGGAAACCCTCAAGCCTCACAATGGAGGTAGTGACTTTTAAAGATGTGGCTGTGAACTTCACTGTGGAGGAGTGGGCATTGCTGAGTCCATCCCAAAAGAAGCTCTACAGAGATGTGATGAGGGAAACCGTTATGCACGTGGCTGCTATAGGAAGAACATGGGATAACCAGCAGATTGAAGAAGAATACAAAAATAACAGGACAAATCTAAGAAATGAAGAGGTAGAGAAATGCTATCCATATAGTGCTTGGAAGCAACATGAAGAAATATTCCTTTGGACTACAGATGCTAGTGTGAGCGTGAAACAAACTGGTTTAAAACCACCTGAAAACCTAGCCTGTAGAAAATCCCTGATTGGTCATTTATCACTAAATGGGCCCATCAGGCCTCACACTCGACTGAAGCCATATGAGTATTTAGGATTTGAAGAGACACTGCATAAATGTAATAGAGATGAAAGAACTTGCAGTGATTTCCAGTCCTTTCAGAAACATGCAAGGACTACTGTGGGAGAAAAACCGTATCAACATGAGCAGTGTGGGAAAACCTACTCTGATTTTAGTGAAAGAGCTCACCCTGGAGAGAAGACCATTGTATGTAAGAAAAGTGTGAAAGCCTCCACCAAACCTAGTGACGTTCAGATCCATGAAAGAAATCACAGTGGGGGGAATCAATGTGTATGTAAGCAATGTGGGAAAGCTTTCAGTACACACACTAGTTATCAAGAACATGAAAGAACTCACACTGGGGAGAAACCCTATATATGTAAGCAATGTGGGAAAACCTTCAGGAGACACAGTCATTGTCAAAGACATGAAAGAAATCACACTGGGGATAAACCTTATGTATGCAAGCATTGTGGGAAAGCCTTCACTACACACAGTTACTGTCAAATACATGAAAGAATTCACACTGGGGAGAAGCCCTATGTATGTAAACAATGCGGGAAAGCCTTCGTTACACACAGTT